CTACTTGTGCTGGGCTTGGAGGTGTCCAGGAGAGGCCAAGCTATGAGCCAATGCAGCTGCCGCTAGTGCCAGGCCTGGGGCCGCTTATCAAGAGGTATGGGGCCCGCTGCTGCTTGTTTGAGAGATTTTAGGAAAGTCCTAAGCATGAGGCTTGAGAGGCCACTTGCACAGAAAAGCCCCTGGAAATGGCCTGGATGAGCTGCAGGTGGGGAGGGGCGGGGCCTCCGGGAATCACGGGGCGGGGCCAAAGGTGTGAGTCAGGTGCTGGCGATTCAAACATGGCGCCTGCCTGCGGGCTGTGTGTGGGGTGGACTCGCCACAGGAGCAACGGCCTCTGCCAGCCCTTCTGCCCGGGAGGAAGCCGCCCTCCGCCTCTCGCCCGGATCTCAGGCAGGTTAGTTCCTCCCCGAGTGTCCCGGGTCCTTTCAGGCTGCTGCCCGGCGCTGGGCTCAGAGGGAGCGTCCGAGTGAGTCCGTGCCGGGCCCTTTAGAGGAGCTGCTGGGGCTCCCGCAGCCTCCGCGACCCTCAGGGACAGTCCCCGCTGGTTTCACAGCCCGGAGTTGTGGGGACGTCTCTTCCCGGCCCTGGAGCCCTGGGCTGGGGGCTGCTGTGGGGCTGGGACCCCTCGCTCCTCCGGGAAACCTCCCCCGCCGAGATGTCCCTCCCCCGTTTAACCCGCGGCACCGGGTGTGGGCCCGCGGCCACGTCTCCGATTCAGCCCCGATCCACCCACATCTCTGCCCCTCCTACCCTCTCGGTGCTTCTTCAGCTCCCTGGTTGTGGGGCTTCTGTTCAGCCAGATTTCAAGAGGCTCTGAGTGATGGTGGTTCTGTATTTTAGTTGTAATTTTGATGTGGTTGCGGGAGGCGGTGGGTGCAGCTGTGACCTACGCCGCCATCTCGTTTTTCCTCCTGAATGATCCTTTGTATTTCTGTGGGGTTGGTAGTAACTTCTCCTCTTTCCTTTCTGATTTTATTTATTTGGGCGCTCTCTTTTTCTTGATGAATCTGGTTAAAGTTTTGTCAATTTTGTATATATCTTCAAAGAAACAGCTCTTATTTTCTTTGATCTTACCCATTATTTTTTAATTTTTGTCTCTACTTTATTTCTACTCTGATCCTTATTACATCCTTCCTTCTACTTACTTTGGGTTTTGTTTGTTCTTTTTCTAGTTCCCTTGGGTGCAAAGTTAGTCTGCTTACTTGGGGTTTTTCTTGTGTTTTTTTTTTTATATAGGCCTGTATAGCTATGAACTTCTCTCTTAGAACTACTTGTGATGCATGCCATAGATTTTGGAAAGCTGGGGTTTCAATCTCATTTGTGTCTAGGTACTTTTTTTATTTCCTGTTCTACTTCCTCTTCAACCCATTGGTTGTTCAGTAGCATGTTGTGTCATCTCCACATGTTTGTGTTTTTTTCCAGTTTTCTTCTTGTAGTTAAGTTCTAGTTTTCATACCATTGTGGTCAGAAAAGATGCTTAATATGATTTTAATCTTCCTGAATTTATTGAGACTTATTCTGTGGCCTAATATATGATCAGTCTTGCAGAATGTTCCATTTGCACTTGAAAAGAATGTGTTTTCTGGAGTGTTTTTGGATAAAATGTTCTATAATGATTAAGTCAACCTGGTCTAATGTGATATTTAAGGCCATTGTTTCCTTATTGATTTTCTGCATGAATTATCTATTGATGTATGCGGGGTATTAAAGCCCCCTACTATTATTGTATTATTGCGAATTTCTCCCTTTATGTCTGTTAATGTTTGCTTTATATGCTGGAGGAGTAAATACTTACGATTGTTATAGCCTCTCTTTTGATTGACCCCTTTATCGTTACATAATGTCCTTCTTTGTCTCTTTTTAGTCTTAGTTTTTAAGTCTATTTTATCTTATATGAGCATTACTACCCCAGTTTTCTTTTCATTTATGTAATGTCTTTTTCTATCCCTTCACTTTCAGTTTGTGTGTCTTTTGATCAGAAGTGAGTCACTTGTAGGCAGCATACAGATGGGCCCTGTTTTGTTTTGTTTGTTGGTTTTTAACCCACACCCGAGGACATGGTTAAAGAGAGAGAGAGAAAGACAGAGAGACAGAGAGGAAAGAGAGTGAGAGAGAAGAGAAAGAAACATCAATGTGAAAGAGAAACACCAAAACATCAAAACATCGATTGGTTGCCTTCCACATGTGCCCCAACTGGGGATCGCACCCGCAACCCAAGTAATTATTGATGAATACATATTTGTTGCCATTTTGTTCATTGTTTTTTGGTTGTTTTTGTAGTTATTCTTTGTTCCTGTCTTCTTCTCTTGATTTCTTACCTTTTGGTTGGCTGGTTTTCTTTAGTGTTTTGTTTAATTTCTCTTAATTTTTTGTGTATTTTTAATAGGTTTTTGGTTTGTGGTTTCCATGAGGTTCATATATATCCACCTATATCAGTCTGTAAATACATTTTTACTTCTTGCTTTACACTTTGTTTTTGACATCAGATTTGAGATCATTTTGTTTTGTGTGTTTCCAACCATTCATTGTAGTTATAGTTAATTTTGCTACTTTTTTCTTTTAACATTCGTACTAACTTTTTAAGTGGCTGATTTGCTTTGTTTATTATAAATCTGCTGTTACCTGTGAGATTTTTTTTCTTTCATGTATTTTCTTATGTCTGGTAATGGCCTTTTCTGCTGAAAAAAGACATAAACATTTCTTGTAAAGACGGTTTAGTGGAGATGAACTCCTTTAGTTTTTGTCTAGGAAACTCTATCTCTTCTTAATTCTGAATGATAACCTTGCCAGCTAGAGTATTCTAAGTGGTAGGTTTCTTTATTTCTGCATTTTAGATATGTGCTGCCACTTCCTTTTTGCCTGTAAAGTTTCTGCCGAGAAATCAGCTGATGGCCTTGTGGGGTTTCCCTTTTATGTGAATAGTTGTTTATCTCTCGCTGCCTTCAAGGCTGTCTTTTAGCCTGGCCAGGCGTGGCTCAGCAGATGAGAGTCGACCTAGGATCCAGGTGATCGGGGTTCAATTCCCCGTCAGGGCACATGCCCCGGTTGCGGGCTCAATCCCCAGTCGGGAGCATGCAGGAGGCAGCCAATCAATGACTCTCATCATTGATGTTTCTATCTCTCTCTCTCCCTCTCCTTTCCTCTCTGAAATCAATAAAGATATATTTATAAATAAATTAATTTAAAAATTTTTAAAAAGATTGTCTTTTAACTTTTGCCTTTTTAATTACAATATGTCTTTGGTGTGGGCATCCTTGAGTTCATCTTGTTTGGAATTCTCTGTGCTTCATGGACCTAGATGTCTGCTTCCTTCCCCAGATTAGGAAAGTTTTCAGCCATTATTTCCTCAAATAAACTTTCTGCCCCTTTCCTGCTCTCTCTCATCCTACTGGGATTCCCTATAATGTGAATTTTAATGTGTTGGATGTTGTCCCAGAGGTCCTCACATCATCTTCATTTCTCTTATTCTTTTTCTTTTTGCCATTCTGATTGGGTTATTTCTATTCTATCTTCTAGGTCACTAGATCATTTTTCCGTATTATCTAATCTGCTGCTGATTCATTCCAATGGATTTTAAATTTCAGTTATTGTATTCTTCAGCTCTGATTGGTTCTTTATTATATTTTCTATCTCTTTGTTGAACTTCTCTCTGAGTTCCTCTATTCTACTCTCCAGTTTGGGGAGCATCTTTATGACTATTTCTTTGAATTATCAGGCAAATTACTTATCTCTGCTTGATTATGTTTTTTTTCTGTGTTTTTTTTCCTTGTTCTTTCATTTGTGACATATTCCTCTATTTTCTCATTTTGTTTGAATTTTTGTGTTTGTTCCTATGAATTAGATGAGATAGCAATCTCTCCCAATCTTGAAAAAGTGACCTTGTATATAAGTGACCTCTGTGTAGGCTGTGTACTGGGTGGGTTAGAGTTGGGGCAGGTGTATGCAGTGCCTGTAGTGCTAGCTGACTAACTGGGAGGAGCAGGTTGGGCAGGATGGCCTGTTGTGCTCATGCATGTGTGGTGCCTTCCTGTTGGTCTGGCTGTCTGCAGCTGGAATGGGGTCCAAGTGGGGCAGCCCCATGCATGTGCTGCTGTGCCCTGTTGGTCCCACCAGAGCAAGCGCCAGAGAGGGTGGCACTCTGCTGTTTCAGTTGTCAATGGCAGGAGCAGGGCCCAGGCTGGGCACCCAAATGCCCTGTGGGAACTACTAGAGCAAGCTCCACAGATGGGGCACCCAGTGCACACATGTGTGCATGGTGGTGCATGGCTGTTCCAGTTGCCTGTGCCCGGAGTGGGGTCTAGGCTGTGCAGCCCAGTGCATGCACACCACAACATCCTGTTGGTCCTGCCTGAGCTGGCTCCAGGCAGGGTGGCTGCTGTGTGTGTGGCAATGCCATGTAGATCTGGTTGTGTACGTGTGCCACAGCACCCTGTTGGTGCTCCTGGAAGGAGCTCCAGAGCAGGGTGGCCAGAAAAGCACTGCAGCACCCTTGCCTTGCAGGTCGGCTAGAACACCTGGATAGAACTCCCACCAGTGCTAGGTGGAGGGGCAATGTAAACAATAGTGCTCACCAGCACCTCGAATCTGAAAGAGTTCCCCCAGATGCCAGGGAGCTCTCGTGTTTCCCAAACCTCTAAATGATCTCTCTTCTTCTCTGTTGTGCAGAAGTTGTTCAATCAGCCCTCAGTTGTCTCTCAGGAGGAATTGCTCTAAATGTAGGTGATTTTCCAATGTGTTTGTGGGAGGTGGCGAGTTCAGCGTCCTCCTACGCCATCATCTTGGACCCGAGTCTAAAGCATTATTTTTAGACAGAAACTAACAGGTACTTCATGAAACAATGCAAAATCACATTCATTTTTAAAAGATAAAACACGAGGCCTTAAAGAAGCTGCCTGCTCCACCTCCTCGCCCTCTACTTTACTTCTGCTATTGAGTGCTCACTGAAGGCCCAGGTGAAGGGCAGGCTTCCTCCAACCATTTTATCTCACGGCAATCTGCAACCTTGGGGCTCCAGTGGTCCTGAGGCTGAGAGAGGTGAAGTGACTCCTCCAAGGTCACACCGCAACCAGGACTCCCTGTCTCTCTGAAAGCATCACTCGGGAAGAGTTATCTGCGAGGCACTATTCTAGACTGTTCTAGAATAGTTCAAACCCTGCTTTATGGAATTCTAGACATGAGAAGAGGTCCAAATAGCAGGACCTTAGGCTCCCACAACCAATCAATCTGGTATGTTGGGCTTCTGTCCAGAGTTTCATTTGAGAGGAAGGTTCTGCAGCCAAAGCAGAATTTGGACATCGTGAACAATTTCTCACACTCAGGTGCTGAACCACTGGAAATGTTTAACAGTACCAGTGTCCCACCCCTGGAGAAGCTGAGAGGCAAGTAGGAGAGGTGAATGCAATGCCCCAGCCTGGCCTGGAGGGGAGTTGGGGGCCCTTTCTGCCCAGGCCCTGTCTCCTAGCCCCTCGTACCTGAAGTCCTCAGACGCCAGCACCTCATAGTAGTACAGGAGTTTGCACCTGGGGCCAGGGCTGTGCAGAGCCGTCAGGACGTCCTCCACTACATTGCCAGGGGGACCATGCATTTGCCACTGGAGCAGGTAGATGCCTGGCCACCGGGTCACATGGGAGCCCTGAAACAGCAGCCACTCTGAGGCTCTGGTCCTCCCAGGAACTAAGCCCCCTTCTCAACCAGCCCATGAGCAAGTCCTTCCTCTAAGAGCCTCCCAACGCCATCCTTGCTCCCCTTGCACTGTTACCCCCATATCCCTGGCAGCTGAGAGTTTCCCTCTGAATCTGGGGAGGGGGCAAGGCCTGGGGGTGCGGCTGCAGGGCAGCAGAGGTGTGGTTTGCTTAACTGCCTGGATTTTGTTGGACTTTTATTCTGTTGAGTGGGCTTTGCACACTGAGGAGTCTGGAGAGGGATTTGGGAAGGGGAGCTCACAGGTGGTTGGAGCTTGTTGAGAACCAAGAGAAAACAATAAAGGTGGTGGTTAGCTGTTGTAAGAAGAGCAACTTCAGGGAAGGACTGAGGTGTTCAGTGGGACCCCAGAGGGTGCTGGTGTGCTAGACTCCCCATGAAACCTTCAGTAACATCTGCAGTGCTTGCCAGTGCATGTGTGTGTGTGTGTGTATGTGAGCATGTCTGAGCATGTCTGAGCATGTGTAAGTGCATGTGTGTGTGTATGCATATATGTGTGTGTGTCTATGTGAGTGAGTGTGTGTATGTGGGGGGGTGAGTGTGTGTTTGGGGGCCTGTGATGTTCGACCTGCAAGCACTGGCCTCATGGAGGACATGAGGTCAGCAGGAGTGGCTCATGTTTGGGGCCAGGTCCGAGTTCTGTTTGCAAACCTCGTTTCTGTGCTGGGCCTGTTCTGGAACCTGTGCATTAGCAATAACCAGGGAAGGGGGAGGGGCACAGACCCCACATCCAGGGGTTCTGAGTCAGCCCCCAGGCTGGGGCCTGGAAACCTGAGTCTTTGGCACAATCCCAGGGGATTCTGAGGCTGGGGTCCTGAGGTCCAGGTCTTAGATCTGCTAGGATGTCTTTTTCTCCCACTGTCCCACAGGTCCCTAAGGCCGAGGACTGTTTGTCCACTGCTGTGCCCCCAGAACCCTTGCACACAGTGGACACTCAGTCCTGCATGATGAATGAATAAATGAACCAAGGAATTCGAACCTGGATGCTCTCCCCTTCCCGGCAGACGAGGGGGGCCTCCACGCAGCTGTAGTCTGAGCCCAGGGCCCCCCTTCTGTCCATCAGCTGCCCGCTGGTCCTGGGCCCGGGCTCACAGGGGCCCGGCTTGGGTGCCTGCTTGGCGTAGTACAGGCTGAACACCACGTCCCCTCGCAGGATGTCGAAGTCCCAGGTGATGACTGACTCCGCCTCCTGAATCTCTACCACAACCTGCATGGGGACAGGCAAGGTCTGAGCAGGGACCCCCTCTCTATCTGAAATGACTGGGAGGGCCCACCTGCCTTGGGGGCTGACTTACAGCCACTGACTGACAGAGAGGAGGGTACATGAGGCTGGCAGGGCCAGTCTGTCGGGCTCTGCATGCCCAGCACTCCCCGCAGGCCCGGCTGGGATGGACTGTGGCTAAAATAGCCTCCTAGCTTAGATTCCTGCCCACATCCTTCCTGCCCACACCTCTCCTTACAGGTTTCTGCTGAGAGCTTGCCCTCAGCAAATCGCTAGCATGAGAACCCTCGTTTCAGGCTCTGCTCTGGGGGACCCTGACCTATACCGACACTCCAGCTCTGTGGGCCCTCCCTGGCAGGGGGCCCAGCACCTCATGGGGGGTCCCGCGGAACACGCTGGCCGACTGGTAGGTCTCTCTCCACTGGTGCAGCTGATCTGCGTGCTCCTGTTCCTCTTCTGTCAGATAGAGGGACTTGGGGACCAGCCCTCCTTCAGGGACATTACACTGGGGGACAAAGACAAAGGTGGCAGGTCAGGGCCCAGTCAGGCCTGGCTGGCCCACAGAAGGGTGCTCTGTGATCCCTGAAACCACACTTATAGCAGCAGTCTCTTAGTGAGCTGGGCACTGAGCTTCCTTGACCCCATTTAACACCTGAACCACAGCAACACAGTGAGACCATTATTCTTCCCATTTCACAGAGGAGAAAGCCGAGGCTCAGAGAAGGAAGGCAGCAGAGCTCATGCGGCAGAAAGTGGTTGAGCCCTTGTTATCAGGCTCTCAGGCGCATGCTCCTTGCCACTACACTGGTCTTGCAGGCCCATTTGCTAAATATAAGTCATGTAGACATAGTGCAACAAATGGAAAAAACAGGTGAGCTTGGCAAAATTCTTATGAAATCTGTTATTTTACCCCAAAATCATGCCAGTGTGCTAGTTGGTATTTCTGCTAGAGAAGGCAGAGGGGCCTGCCCTCCCACAGCCAGATGAGATAAGACAGCTGTGACCAGGGTCACCCCTGCCTATCATCTCACCCCATGGGGGGGCAATAAAAGGATAGGGCTAGGGCCACCTCCCCTGGAAGCAGTTGCCCAGTCATCCCATGCTCTGTGGTTACGAGTTGGGGAAAAACCCTTTGGGTATACGGCTCTGGGGTCCAGGCCTCTGGGACATTTGAGTCACATCTCCCTGTAGCAGAGGGTGTAAAAGGTAAACTCTGACCGCATCCTAGCAGCCTAGACTTGGATGGGGAATACAGGGTGGGTAAGCCTTTGACTGGCCTGGTCGCTGGGCTTCGGGACACTCCGTCTCGCTCACTGTGTTTGAGAGAACCAAGGCTGCCCTCCTTCAGAGAGGAGCCACCGTGTTTTGGGGCAGCTTCTAAAACAAGCCCTGCCCAGCACCCCGGGGTCCTCCGGGCCACAGCCTGCCCCTCCCCCGCCCGGGCGCCAGCAGCCTCACCATGCACTCTCCCCCGAGGAAGTCGGGGATCAGTTCTCTATCCAGGTAGTCCACGAGGCCTCCAGGCCCCTGGTAGTTGCTGCCACTGTAGATGAGGAACTTCTGCCTGGTGTTCTCATTGATGAAGGGGCTGATCTGAAATGGGGGGGACGAGGCAAGATGGAAAGTTGTTTCTTTATTGAGGTATAATTCGCATACCACAGAATTAACCACCTTAAAGGAAACAATTTAGTGGCTTTTAGCTCATTCCTTATGTTGTGCGACTGTCACCTCTATCTAATTCCAAGACATTTTCATCTCCCCAAAAGGACACCCCACACCCATTAGCAGTCACTCCCCCTCCCCCTCTCCCCCCAGCCCCTGGAAACCACCAGTCTGCTTTCTGTCTCTGTAGTTTTGCCCGTTCTGCACATTTTGTATAAATGGATAGGGTGTGAGGCCTTTTGTGTCTGGCTTCTTTCATTTAGCATGATGTTTTCGTGGTACATCTGCGTGGAGCATTATCCATGCCTCCTTTTTATGGCTGAATACTATTCCACTCTATGGATGGCCACGTTTTGTTTATTCCAGATGGAATTTCAGCACTGAGCTCTGAGCTGCATGTCTGTCAGGTTTTTCACAACATCCTCAGTGCTGGTGTGGTGTCTAATTCAATAAATAGGTGGAGA